GTAAAATATTAACATTATGATAAATAAAGGTTTCTATCATTTAAATTGAATAAACTTTATACTCACCGGCTAATACTAATAATAGCTGATGTTCTTCTAATATTTCAATTTGAGAAACCTTTTCTACTTGTAACACTAAAGCTGGATTTTGTCTTTGACCAATTTCGATCACATATACACCAGAGTCCGTTCCAATTATTAGATTTCGATAATTATCTGATAAAAATGAGCGAAATCATGATTTTTTTGATTCATTAGAATGAATGAATGAATAAATGAATAAATAAATGCATAAATTAATCAATGAATCAATGAATCAATGAACCAATGAGTGAAGAAATGAACCAATGAGTGAATAAATGAACGAATGAATGAACCAATGAAAATAAATGAGCAGAAAATAGCTTTACCATAAAAAGCAGCACAGTTAATCTTGTTTGCTCCGGAAAATTGACCTTTTTCTATCAAAATAGTTTTCTCAAACGATTTGTTTTTATCGATGACCTCTTTTTGTTCTGATATAAGATCGATCCACCTTTTACGACTTACCATCGTCAATGCATATAAATTTTCTGTAAAACCTTTTTTTCCAAGACAACTAAAAGTTAATGGATATCTATGATTAATGCTTCCACGGTTAGTTGTCGGTGATTTTCCCGGCAAGATCGACTGTGTTCGCTTCTGGCTACTTTCAGAATGACTCTCTTCTGTAGAAACTTTCAATAATTCAATAGGAATTGGCTATAAAAGATGTAAAAATATTGTTGTGTTAAAAAATGCACAAGTTCCAAAAATTTAAAAATTTTAACTAATTAAAAGATTTACCCTACGATAAATTTTATATTGTTCAACTTTATTTACGATTTTAACTTTCACCATTAATAAAGCATGGTCAAATAGAAATACTTGTAGGTCGGATGATTCATTAGATCTTTTTAAGGAGCCCTTGAATATAAGTTGACGTCCTTCTTCCGTTAATTTCAAATCCTATAAAATTATTTATCAATTTGTCCAACTTTAGAATATATAATTAAAGAATGGAAACGTGAGCAAACTATTTAA